CCCCAAAACCCCAAAACCCCAAAACCCCAAAACCCCTTTGAATATGAATGGGATTGAAAAATTAGTGGTTGAGAATTTTAAGTAAGTTGGTGACTAGTTTAAAATTAGAGGTGGTATTAGAGAAGGATTATTCGCCTTCCTTTGGCTTAGCCTCGGCTAAGAAGGGAGATGGGTCAAAATCTGTTGGTATCTGTTCTACTTTTCCGGTGAATCTTGACTGGATTTCTTCTAGGAGTTTTTTGTCTTCTTCACTGGAAATAAAGGAAATTGAGAGTCCCTTTGTACCAAATCTTCCAGCTCTCCCAACTCTATGGAGATATGCATCACTACTCTTGGGCATATCAAAATTCAGGACAAAATCTATTTTCTCAAGATCTATACCTCTTCCTAACACATCTGTACAAATGATGACTTTCTTTGCTCCTTTCTTAACTGACTTAAAAATCTTGTCCCTAGCAGTTTTGCTCTTTTTTGCATGCATTCATACTGTCTTAATCTTGTTACCTTGTAAAACCTTTGATAGGGCATCAGCTCTTCTGCAACTTTTCGCAAATACTATTGCTTGGTTATACTTGTATTCTTCTAGTACTTCAACAGTTCTTCTAATCTTTTGTTCCTCCTTAAGTTCTTGGTACAGAAGTTTAAGGCCATCTAACACAAGGTACTTGTCATTAATGATGATCTCTTTTTGCTTGTCAAGGAAAAACCTAGCTACCTTTAAAACATCTGGAGGCAAAGTAGCTGTGAACATCATTGTCTGCTTCTGGGTTTGTGTGCTTATGAATATTCTTTGTACTTGGGCTCTGACATCTATATAAAATGTTACAATCATTTCAAATGATTCGTTGGCAACTTCAGTATTGTTCCTTCCATTTTGAATCGAATATGGTTACGTACCTAAGTCTTTTAAAATCAAGTCTCACTCATCTATCACAAAGTGAGTGACATTTTTTCCATTGATTCCATCCTTGTGGAGAATCAAGTCTTTGAGTTTTCCTGGTGTTCCTATGATGATATGAGGTTTGACTTTGTTCAAAGCTTTGAGATCTTTCTTGAAATGTTCACCTCCTACGAACACCATTGATTTAAAACTTAGGCCGCTACCGAGTCTTTCGAATTCTTTCTTTATCTGAATTGCTAGCTCTCTTGTGGGAGCTACAACTAAAACACTGTGGGGTTTAGAATCTTTATCAAGTAATTGCAGAGTAGCCAGTATAAAAACTGCAGTCTTCCCCATTCCTGATTTTGCTTGACAGAGTATGTCAACTCCGAGAAGAGCTTCTGGGATGCATTGAGCCTGGACTTCCCCTGGAGTTTCAAAACCAACCTTGGAGATCGAATCAAGCAGCTCTTTTTTCAAGTTTAAGTCACTGAAGTTCTTGTTGTCTCTATTGCCATATAAGTGATAGCTTTTATCTTTGCTTTCTTCGGCACCCTCCAAGTTTTCGTTTTGCTCCAGCTCTTCATAATCAAGGACAAGGTTCTCGTCATTGATAGTTGCAGTCATTTACGCTTTTGTGAAATGTCAAAATTTGAAAGAAGACACTTAAAGGCCCAATTTATAAAATTCTTTTGGTTGTTAATAAAGTCCCATATTTTAGTCAAATGACAGATTTAAAAGGGGTTTTGGGGTTTTGGGGTTTTGGGGTTTTGGGGTTTTGGGG